ATGAAATTGTAGTAAAAAGCTAAAAAGACTGACATAGTAATTTCATTGTCTTCAAAAGGTATATGGTATTATTCTGGTTGTTCTAATGAAAACAATCATGGGCTTGAGCTAAGAAGGTATTTTGGACTTTTCTGTGTCTTTCCACAGAGCCTAGCATAATGCCTTGTAGACAACATGTACTTGATAATGTGCAGATTTTCTGGATTATTCACTTAAAATCTTTCATTCCATCACTGGTGGAATGAAAACTGTTAGATGCACAGTTTATGCTATAAGATAACACTATAACAAAACAATATAAAAATAAACTACAAATGTCTCCAAATCACAGCCCTTCTACTATATTTCTCTGGCTCCCAGCCATAGAGGATTTATGTAAAGTTAAAGAATGTTAAGCTTCAGGACCCTTACTTGTTCTGGCTCCTGAACATGTTGGAAGTTGCTGGGAGCTATCTAAGTGGGGAGGGGGAGCCAGAGAGCAGTGAGGGAGTATTTCTATGTATTTCTGATATGCTGTCTAAAACAAAATCTCAGAAGATAGGATGTGAATCTCCATTTGTGGTGACTTTCTTATTTTAAATAAGTATCGATTTTCAGGCCTAATTTTTAAGAGGCTCTTCTCCCCCAAATTTCATAAACTCTAGGTGCCACAGAATCTGTTTCCATTGCCTCCATTCTAATGATCTGCCTCTACTGGCAACAAATGGAAGACAACCCACGGAGCACCATTGACCATTTGTGTGTGAAAAGCACTAATTCCAGTGAAAGAATGTCCCTGTCCCCATCTTCCACACATTTCCCGGTGCATTCTCCCACCTCCTCACACATCCTACACTCTTTCTCATCAGTTCTGTCACAATTACCCACCTTCCTACTAGTTTTTCCACCCACCTTCCCCTACAGATTTGCTAATATCCTTTCCTATCAATCCTTTCTTTCCTGCTCTCCCAGGAAAACACTAACATTTCTGACAGCATCTCCATGGGGATGAAGAGGAGGAGGAGTTGCAGGGAAAGAACAGGACTGGAAAAGCAGAAGCCACTGAGCCATAGCTCTAGCAGATGTTCTCATAGTGCCTGGGGGTGGTGGCGGTGACAGGGGAGACAGGGTAAGAGAAGGTTTAGAATAGTAAGAAATTATTTCAAAAACTTGTTGCCTGAAGAGTTTCATAAATTATGGTACACATTCAATGTTTTACCATTAAGATAAAAATAAAAAGAAATCTTATCAACCTAAAATGCTCTATGATGTGATGGCAAAAGAATGTACCAGAATCCAAAAAGTACACACTATAGTTATGACTACATAGAGCACATGAGGGCATATGGATATGATATATAAGGGTGAGAATGGTCATGAGGAATAATGTGATTACAAATGATAAAATTTTTTGAGCTTCACTGGTGGCGCAAGGGATTAAGACACAACCTATGAAGCTGTCCGCAGCCTCTGCAGCATGAGTTCGATCCCCAGCCAATCCCCAGCCTAGCCAGGGAGCTATCCACATCGCGCAGCAGACCTCTCCTGACTCGCCCACTGCACCCCTCAGCAGTGTATCTCAGTCAGTCTGCCTGTTCTGTTCCCCACTCTGTCTCTGGTGAATCCTCTCAACCCCCCACACCTCCGGCCTGTACCCCAGTTCTTGTATGCATAAATAAATATTTTTTTAAATGATAAGTTTTTTATTATTATTTAGGTAACACTAGTTTACAGCACTGTACAGGACTCAGAGGAATAGGGTCACACCTCCTCAGATGTATCTCACCATAATACACCCATCACCAGAGCACCCAAATTCCTTTATTGTATACCACTGGGCCACTATCCACTCGGTTCCCATACACCCTCTTCTAATGGCTTCAATTCTGCAGTCATTTCTAGACTGTGCTTTGGTTTAGTTCTGTAAGTTCCTTTGGTTTATTTCTCTATACTCCACATAAGAATGAAATCATCTAGAATTTGTCCTCCCGCCAGCTTATTTTACTTAGCATAATCCCTTCCAGTTCCACCTACATTGTCGAAAGTGGCAAGATTTCATATTTCTTAACACCTGGATAGCATTCCACTATGCATATGTATGTATATGTACTACATCATCTTAAGGGATGACAGAATTTTTTTCCTAAAATTTCTCCAATGTTGTTGTGTTTTCATTAAAAAAAAAAAGTAATTTTCCCACAGCAGGGATGGATAACCACACTTAAGCTACTTAAGCTATTCTCAGTCCTTATCTAATAAAATTGGCACTGTATGATGTCATGAGATTGCAAAAATGGGAATAAGGCAAAAATGGAAGAGAGTGTGTCCTTTTTAGGAAACAAGGTATAAAAGATATAATGGGGATGTAAAGCTCAGTGAAAAGGTGAAGGCAAATATATACAATATGAAAGTATCCCCGGGTTACCTCTACTCCCATAATGAATACCATTTATCCAGAAGCTGAGGACAGCTACAATCAAATATTTTGGTTCTTGAAGATGAGTCATGGATTAACACATATATTCAATAGAGTGACATAAACCATCAAATAGAGAATATTAGGTAGGTGACCATCCCAATTAAGTTTTTATCAGACACTTTTCTAAGATCAAAATGAAACGTTGACTTTAAGTTATAAATGCAACATATATTTGTTCGTTGACATATTATCTAACACTCTACACAGTACTTGTCATAGGTGTGATCACGTTGTTCATAACCAGAAAGGGCATGGTCCTTACCCACAGTAAAACAGAGGAATCTACATTGGACTTGGGGCTACAAGGAAGGCACCCTCTATTAGAGGTGGGGATAGATGTTTACTAAAAAGTCTCTAGATGTGTGTAATGTGCAGCCTGGACTGAAAATTACATTGTAAGGTCTGAGGATGGGACTGATATCCAGGTTTCTTGGAATAGGGGAAGAAGAATTTATTCTCAAAAAAAAATTAGATGTTCCAGGGGCTTCCCTGATGGTGCAGGGGTTAAAGTCTCAGTGCTATCAAGCTATCACCAGCCACTGCAGCATGAGTTCAATCCCCAGCCAGGGAGCTAACCCACATGGCTCAGCAAACCTCTTCTGTCTTGTCTGCTGCTCCCCTCAGCAGTGTATTTTAGTCAATCCTTCTGTTCTGCTCCCACTGTCTCTGGTGAATACTCTCACCCATCCCACCCTTGCACCTATGGCTCCACCCCAGTTCTTGTATGTATATACAAATAAAAATAAATCTTAAAAAAAAATTGGATGTTCCAAAAGGGAAAATTAGGGAGAAAGGAGGGAGAAGCAAATGAGACTGAGTACTTAACAGTAAAAGTAATCATAAAGATAGAGAACATCTTGGAGTTGGCAGAGGACCTCTGAGACAAGATGAGAGCAACCAATCATCCAATTCTGCCTGGGACTGAGCACTCAATTTTTAGTGCTAATACCAGGAATGTCATGAGCATAACACTGAGGTATTAGATTTTTATTTTGACTATATTTTACTAATTTAAAATTGAAATAACTATACATAATTAGTGCCTACTATAGTATTAGACAGCACAGTGAGTCCAAACAAATACAGCAAGCTGGCTTCTTTACAGATAAAAATTTCCCCTTTTATTTACTGTTATGAAAAAAATTTTGATGCACATTAAAAGGGGAATATGGGAGAGTAACAATTTAGACCCTAAAGTTAACTATTTTCTATCAAGTCAATGTGTAACTATAAATAAGGAATAGAAACTATTTAGCAATATACAACAAACTTTTGAGGGAAAACAAAAAACCACTTTTTTTCCCCCCAAGTCAAATTGAGTGGGGATGAAATCAGCCACACTCCCTGTCTCCAGGTCCTCTCTGAATCAAGAGAAAGAAGTGGTGGAATGGATCTATAACCAAGTCAGGAATCTGGAAAAAAAATAATGCTACTATCAAAACCTTGACCTTGATGTCTTGAATATCACTTCCTAAACCTTTAGCTAACTAACACCAAGTATAAGAAATAAATTATCATGCTTACCATAGAATTGCATGTCCAAAAAGGGCAGTTTATACATGGTAATATTCTCATTCAAATACAAACATAGCAATATAATTTAATAACAAAAACAGTTATAGATAAAAATCATAATGAGAATAAAATCAAATATTAAGAAAGAGGAATTATAGAGCTAAAGACTGATGAAAACAAAATTACTTTAACTACGATCACATACAAGTGTACATATAATCAAAAGGAAATGGAGGGCTGCAGTAATGATTCCTTAGGTGGAAAAGAGCTATACTTTGAGTAATTCAAATTTTACTAATTATAGTCTTTTAAAATGTGAGATATGAAATGATAAAACAATATTTACTTGGCAGACTTAGCATGGATACTCTATTATGATGAACAGTGTTTAAATTCCTTAAGCTTTCAATACATAAAGCATTTAGTCAAGAATGAGTTATTCCTTTTCTCTTCCAAAGATGCAATAGCAAAGAGTAGTCTAGGACATTTAGCTATCTTGTCCTGACAAATAACCAATTCACCTTTCTTCCCAGTGTATTTTTAAGTATTGATTTTACCAAGTGAACTCAGACATGTGTCACACTTATCCAATACAGATTCTTTTCCTTGAAAATGTAGTTTGAACATCAATCAGTCACCTGGTCTTTCACCTCTAATTCCTATTGCCACCGTCTGTCAATTATTAAAGCTTGCCCACTTCTCCAAATAAGTTATTTTTAAAAGCTGGTTTTTAACATACACATAAAGTTTGCAAATAGACACATGATTAAATTTCTTCATTAAAATTATTTTTCTGAGTTGAAAACTAGTTAAAAATCTATAAATCCACATTTCAAAAGCCTCTGTCTTTTCTTTGAAAACATGTTCCCTGAATGGTAATATTAGCACTTGTAAGCCAGACTCCAGTTTGAGGAAGACAACATAAAAAGAAATTCAAGCTGAGTGGCATTGTTACCAGGGTCTTCAAACAGAGCACAGTGTTTTCATCTCTGGCTGAACCCAAAGAAAGTCACAGAATGACACCCACCTTGAGCTGCAAGCCTCCTGGGATAAGAGTGTTTGCTGGAAGGCTCTTAATGTGTTGGTAGACATAAGAGGAGAATTGCTCCTGCTCAGCCTGTAATTGGGGGCCAAGTTTAGAGAGATGACCTCTGTTACATTTGATAGCTGTCTGCAATTCATCAATCAGCCTGCTCACCTGAAGGGGTTAAATTACAAGAGTTGTTAGCAAGAAGTAATTGTTGATGTCACACCTATTAGTTTTTGAGTACCTAGTCTGATGGAGGGAAAATGACTTCAATACAAGAATTTGAGTATAAATCTTTAAGTAAAGAGAATAGAAGAGATACACATTCCTTCATCAACAAATTTTATTTATGGAAATATATCTAACCTTTTTACTTCAAGCAATATGGAGCAGATAGCCATTTACAACTAATGAATGAAAAGTATCTCTGGATATGAAAAGGAGCATATAAAACACGATGCTACTTGCAAAATAAAATCAAATAGTAAGAAGGAAAAATTACAGAGCTAGACTGATGAAAATACAATCTACTATAAACTACTATCTACAAACTACTATCACAAACAAATGTATAGATAATCAAAAGGAAGTAAAGAGTTATAGTTGGCAAAGGACTTTTAACCTCCTTAACAGAATAAAACTTTCCTAAGACTTTAAGCAATTCAACATATATACCAACTACAATTTAATTTTATGTACCTTCCTTTTCAGAATGTTTTGTTTTGTCATCTGTATGTTATGTTGAAATTTTTAAATATGCATTAAATTTGTTAACATTTTGTTGGCTTTTTAAATAAATTAATCTGCTTTCTTATTTCCAAATCATGAAAATATAATTTTCCAAATTTCATAAATACAATTTTCCAAAACTATACACATACTTCAAAGATAATACTCTGTTCTAAAAAATATTTTGAATATATATCTCTGAGTAAAGCATAGACTTTTTCCAGAAACAGCAATGACTTAGAAAGAAGTACCCTTTTATTTTTACATTTTGCAATTTCTAATCAGTGTTATTTAAAACAGACAAATAAAACTGACTTATGGATAATTAAAAAGATATACTGAGAAACATAAATAGTAAGTTGATGTTTTGGCCCATATAGTATATAAATTAAAAAATCATTACCATTCTTTGACTATTGTGTTATGTAAACTTATCTTTTCTCCAATAGATTAGATTCTTATATAAACACTGATTTATGAATGGTTGTGAGAAAAAGAAATGAAAAGCAGAAATTCACTCTATTCATGGCTTTTTTTTTTCAGTTTTATTCATTTTTATACAAGAACCGGGGTACAGGCCAGATGCACAGGAGGGTGAGAGGATTCACCAGAGACAGAGTGGGGAACAGAACAGGCAGACTGACGAAATACACTGTTGAGGGTAGCAGCAGGCAAGACAGGAGGTCTGCTTTGCCATACAGGATTCTCGCCGGCCTGCCAGGATCAAAACCGTGCTGCAGAGGCTGTGGACAGCTTCACAGTGTGGTGCTCAACTGCCTGAGCCTCCAGGAAGGCCCTCATGGCTCTTTATAATGATCAAATTAGACCTGTTTAGAGTTATGAATAATTCTGAATAGAGCATGGATTTTTGAGTTCTTGGGTTAAATGGTTCTCCTATTTACTGGCAGAGACACTGAACACATAATAAAACCCTCATCCATTCTCAAAAAAAGTTTCTGGGCTTCCCCAAAAGCCTCATTCCCCCCTGCCAAAAAAAAAAAAAAAAACCCTCATCCATTAATGAAGAATAACACTGGTCATTGGTCATATCATATTAAAAATTAAATGAGATTAAAGAATCTCATTTATCTAACCAATAGTAGATACCTTATATAAGCCTATTTCACATGAAAAAGACAAAAATTTGAAACTATTGGCTACAAAGATTGTCCATCTCACTTCAATGTACACAGATAAAATGGGATCTTTCTCCAAAAGAGTCTCTCATGTACTCACACTTCATCCTCTTTCTCTCACAGCTAAAAATATCTGCCCTATCCTGTACTCTGACATTAAATATATGACATTTATCGTCCTACAGAGAATTTTAGGGAATCAATGAAAGCAAGTTTGTATTATTTTCCATATGACTTTATTATTTTTCTACTTTATATAGACACAAATGTCATCTTGAACTAATTTACTTATCTATGTCTTCAATTACATTTCATTTTTCCCAAGAACTTTAGAAGCAGTATGTATGTATAAAAAACCTGATTAATATTTAAATTTAAATTACTTCATTTAAATTATTCCTATTTTATTTAATCTCCCATATCTCTCTTATTTGTCCCTATGTAATCAATCATCAGCTTCTATGCAATCCTTTTTTCTAAATAAGGAGTTGGCAAACGTTTTATTTATAAGGACGGATAATAAACAGTTTTAGTTTTGTGGGCTATAGGTCATCCATTAGAACTATCTGACACCCCTAGTCGTACTCTGAAAACAGTCACAGACATTAGGTAAACAAATAGGCACAACTGAATTCCAATAAAACTTTCTTATACAAACAAGCAATGGTCTGGATTTGACCATCCTGTAGTTTACCAAACCTTATTCTAATTACATGCATTTCTTCTCCTTTTCCTTTCTTATAAGAAATACACTAGCCTAAGTCCTCTTCCTTCCACCCCTCACTTATCTTACCAAAATATCTACTGAGTGGTCTCCCCATCCCTGATCTCTCTTTCTCTAACTCTTCCTGCTACTGCTACCAAATTAATCTAGCATAAATAACATATTAAAGTATGCAACTGAGCCCCTACAGTCTACAGTTTGGTATTCAAGATTCAAGACATTTGCTTACATTCTGGTGAATTTGTATGCTTTCCATAGTGCTGTTAACCCTATTATAAAGTTATAACATTTAAAATATGGAAAGGATGATGAGCAATGTTAGCCAATGCTTTCAATCTCATCCTCACCATACGAGCCTCAAGCAGTATTGTCCTCAAAAATGATGGCCATTAGTATCTACTCTACCAAGCTATAGACCAAAACAGGACAAATGACTTGCTCTTAAAATTATCTGACAAAATTAAAATCTAAGAACCAAAGGACTGAAATAAAAAAATACTACATTTCTGAAAAACACTGATCCCTTCTTAACCTATCCCCAGCATCATATGATTCAAGGAGGTACAATTTTACATAGTGTTTAAAGTATACTTTGTTTCTTGCAATCTATTTTGCTAGCCAGTGATAATGCTTTAATTTTATAGTACTGCACCTTATGCTATGCATAGCAAATCACATACATGCACACATGCACACATAAGGAGGAATTTCAGGCTTTGATTTGAGAGCATTTTTACACATGACTGGTTTTACTGTCACAATCTATAGGCTTTCACTGATAGGATATTTCATGTGACATCAGAAATCAACCAACCATACAGTTGATGATGTCATTTGTATTCTAAAGGACTATTGGTTAAAGACTTAAAATTTCATTTCCTATGATTTCTTCATAACTTAAAAAAATTTTCTCTCGGCTTTGCTATTTTCCTTGGCCCCACGATTATCTGCTAATTTATGTGAAGTGTGATTACACCAATTTCACCTGCTTCTTTTAATAACTTAAAAATATCAAATAAAGATATACTAGCAAACACTAACTTACATCTTAAATATAAAAGAAAATATATGAAGAATCCGGCCACTGATATTCTGGTAAACTTTACATCCTGTATTACTTAAACTTTATGTTACTTCATATATTCATATGGTCTTTTATCCTCAAAGTGCTACTTTTAATTCTCATTTATTATAATAACATGTTACCTTTAAAGATAACCCTATAAAAGATACCATTAAAGATAACCCTATTTAAAAAAACCCTATATAAACACCCTTAGAGATAATTCATATACCATATCAGGTAGATAATTTAGTATTCATGAATTATTTTACATAATATGATTTTTTTTTTTTTTGCATCACAGATGTTGCTAAAAGGAGAAAAATGTTCTTTAAAATTCTTCATCATGAATCTTTTTTTCCTGCAAATCCCTTTTTCCCGTCTCTCTACAAAGGCAATGTGAATAGGGGTAAAAGAAGACAAAACTTGACCTTCTGTGATCCCAGCATTAATGGGTCTGTTCATAATTCAATCTATGTGTGTGTGGGAGCACCCATGTGGAAACATAGAGGCCTGAGAGACATAAAGCCTTTCCCTTTAAACATTATCTGACCCTATCAGTCCCATTCACAAAAGAAGGCTTACATATGCATATATTGAAAAAATGCACCATCTCATTGTGCAGCAGAAAGCCTACACATTCTACTCTTCATTCTCTGTGGACATATAGCACGGAAGTGACACTTGTACAGAATTTGGGAGAGTGACAAATGAGCAGAAGGTAGCAAAAAAGAATTAAGTATTCTGATGCGAAAACAAACCAAATTTCTGAAAGAAAGCAAAGCACACCACTTTATGAACACACAGCAGGTTTTGGCATAACAGGTAGGTAAGTTTGGTCATGTTTTTATGATACATTCATGCAACACTTGAATTTAGTTAAATCCCCAAGATGATTTACAGTCAGCATAAAACATTTTTGTTTGTGCATTCTAAAATATATACACAGTGATGATGTACATTCTGAATCATATAATCTGAGCATTGTAATTCAGCTATTACAAATGAATCTTTAAGGACCTCCATGATTTTCTAATGATGAGCTCAATTTTTGGCCTGAATTCTTCATGGCCTTCAGTCCACTAATATTAGTAAGGAGGACTCCAGAGTATTTAACACTGAATTGTCACTTGAAATCAGCACAAAGGGTGGTGGCTCTATGCTAGCAAAGTCACTTTTTTTTTTCTTTTTCATAGCCATTGATTTATTAACTTTTAGTTTTATTGATACTTTCCCCCAAAACAATCTGTTTTAACCAAGTCAGTAAAATAGCCGCACATTTCCTTCCTACCATATGTGCTATCTTACAAGCACCACTACTAACAATGAAATCTCAACTCCTTATTTCAGCACGTCCCTTCTTATCAAATGTCCAAAGTAAGGGTGTGGTCATTTGTTGGTAGACCCTATTGTGGTGCCTGCCTGGGGCAGTGATATCAGAAAGGGAACACTTGTTGATGTGTACACCATAGGAATATCATCTTGGCATGTGACATGCTAGGTCAGTGCTTAAATTTAGAACTAAGAAATCTTCTAACTAGCAATATTACTAAGAAGAACCAGAAAGAGAGCAGGGAGATGAAAATAGGTATTTTAAACTTCTGAAAATTTCTTCTTCGTTCTTAGGCTTCAGTGCTTTGCAGGTGAAGAACTGAAATTAACCCAGACTGATGAAAAAAGACTAGAAAAGATGAGAACCTGTAAGCAAAGTTAAACATCTTGATGTGAAAAGAGGAGTTGCAATGTACCTACCAAGAAACCTGAAAGGTATAAGCACTTTTTATTCCTGCCAACTCAAATACTCCCAGCTTTTTAATAGTTTTCTAGAACTCCTCTAAGATGACAAATATTTTAGAAGGAAAGGGTGGTGTTTCCATCCAGAATTACCTAAAGTGTTGCCTTTAGTTCCATTCAAGAGTCTGGTATCCTTATCCACTCATGGTGGAAGAGGCAATTGAAAACAGGGACATTTTAAAGGACTTGATAAATCACTTGGGAAAAGGCTGGCAACAAGAATGATGTCAAGTATACTTTTTGAGGCAGCAATGAGAATGTGTCTCACAGACTTCTAAATTACAGGAGTTCAATTGACCAAGACTCCCAGTTACTGTGCTCTGAAATTTATCACCAGGTTGGCAGCAATGACTGAAGATGCTAATGCAAGTCCATTCCAGAGTCACAGGATTCCTCTGATGGCCTCTTTAAGTCAAAGATACCAACAGCTTTGCCGAACCTTCCTCCAACCACACAGCAGTCTAATCTTCCTTTCCTCTATCCTCCACTCACATTTCAGTCTGATAGCTCTCCTAGCCTTATCCAAGGTTCTCCTCATTTTCTCTGGTAAGAATTCTAATAAAATCCCTACACATTTAATCCCATCTTAGTATCCACTTTTCCAAGAACCTGAAGTAACATAATTTTCAGCCAGAAATAATAAATTACATACACATCTCCAGTAGACCACATCCAAACATTTGAAGTACTTTAATATCACCACCTCAAAGTAATTTTATGATGTATACATTATTATTATTTCTAGTTTTCATGTCAAAATTTACAACAAATGAAATATGATTTTAAGAAAGACTGCGGAAGTCTAAATCTCAGATTTTTATATTTGCTTTGGTAATTGAAATGCATCTAGAAATATAATACCCTTGGAAAAAATGTAACCAAAAAAACATAGGCAAAGATAAATTGAAGTAATATATTGAGTGGTCTCCCTGCCCCAGAATTGTAATTTATCTTCACCACCAGTATTTTACATCTCTATATATGAATTAGGGCCAAAATTTGATGACAATCTAAGCAAAACATTAGACACTATACATCAAGATTAACATAGTCACTTTCAAAGTAATACCATATGAATTATTTTCATAATATGGGATATATTCAAAGATCACACACACTCATACGCATATACATGTACACACAGATTAATATTCCCTTTACAGTACATTTAATTTTTGAAGCAAACAATGCCTTTGAAGCCATAGCTGACTGAGGAAATATGTGACCAAATAAAGCACTGTGCAGGCATAACATTGAAGTATATAGGTACTAAATGAACATAAGGTGATAATGAAGAAATATTAAAATAAGAATACTGTTGGATTTTCAGAAAAGAGAGTTTCATTTTCTCATGTTGCTAGGAAGATATATTTAGCATAAATATATTTATTTATTCCAGTTTTCAGTTCCACTGAACTTGTGATTTTGCATAAAATAGCAAAACACAACATAATTTCAATACTTACAAGGCAGAAAATACTTAATCTGTGAATTTTTCTAGATCATTTTCTATTTAATCTCTAATGATAATGTTAGGGAGAAATGATGTCTTGAGCTAATCCCATACAGGCTTTGTGGACTCCACCCCAACTCCAGACTAAAGCCATCAAGACATTGGGAAAGACAAATCCCATCACCACCAAAGGGAAGGTGGCTGGGACCTGCGGGTGGAGTTAAGCAGCCAGGTTGGGTATAAAAACCAAACACGTGGGCCTTGGGGTGGCTCGCTATCGCTTGCTTCCTGGCTTCACGGCTCCTGGCTTGCGGCCAGCTCTCAGAGCGCCATTTGAGATTCCAGATCGGTGGATCGGGTAGGACTCATTTAAACTTTGTCTCCCACTTTTCTCCCTGAGCTGTACATTTCCTCATTTCCCCTTCCCTTGTAAATAAACCTTTTATTAACCTTTCGCGTGTGCCTGCAGTAGAGCATTGATAAGTCCTTTTTAGCGCGCGGGTGAGGACCCACAGTCAGGCACCCTGTTTTGTATCGGGGTTGCTCTACAACAATAATTTTTGTTCTTATAGATATAACTTAATTAGCTAATTAAAATAGAGGTATTTATCCCTCTTAAAGTTTCCCATATCAAGATATTTGATAGATTCATTTTAAACTCACTGTGAAAACATAGTAAAATTTATAACAACCTATAAATTTATAACAACCTAACTTTTATAAATTTATAACAACCTAACTTTTAACTTGTTAATAGTCAGTGGAATGAGTCTGAACTACAACTTAAATCTATACAATTGTCCTTTGTTACATTTACATGTCATTTGCTACATGCTGAATTTTTCTTATAAAATATTCTCTACTGAAGTTGTCAATTAATATTTATAATACAGTCTCTAATATTGGACATATATAAGTCCCAAATATGAAGGTAATCTCTAACATGAGACCTGGATTCACTCAAAAATTTGATACCTTGTTCCTGTTCATCATTGTAAAATACATAGTAAGGGAGATGCAATCACAATAAGAAAATATTAAAACCCCAAAGCTTGGATAGATTTCTTTGCCAAAACATCAAAGAGACACACATGAAAAGCTTAATTTTAAAACATCTTACTATTTTATTCTTTAAGTTGCTTATAGATTTTATTTACTGACAGTGGTAAAGAGAAATTAGCAAATTCATGATCTTTCTTCAGAAAGATTAAATGCTTTTGCATTCCAGGAAGCTACATGAAAATCATTTTCTCTTTCTGTCTAACACCAATTTTGTATTATTATTTCATTTATGGAATATGCTGTCAACTTCACAGCATGAGCTTCGGCGAGAAAAAGGCTTGCTTTAATAGTTCTTCATTACAATATTGCCTACAGAATCTTATCATTAGCTCACTAAGTCTTGCCATTTGTAAACTCCTTGATAAGAGATAAAACTGTTAGTGTTTCTAAAATACAGAACAATGATTCTATTCCTAGAAAGTAAAAAATAAGAATAATATTCAGTATTTACTCAAAATTTTGTTTTTCCTGTCAGCCTATTTTATAATTTCCAGATTCAAGTCACATGTAATATTTTTTTTAATTTGTGCAACTTAAGAGAATTTATTTGCAGACAATTATGAGATTTATTCCTCACAAAGTTAAAGTTTTCAAGCTGCCTATATCAATAAAATGATTTCCAGTTTTGACCAAGTTTGTTCCATTATTTTATCAAATACCAATCATTGGTTCACTACCAGACCCAAGCAAAATTTGTTTTAATTTTAAAATTAGTGTTCATTATAGTTTTAAAGTATAGTTTGAAAAATAAATTCCTTACTTCTTCTTGTGCCTTATGGTGTTCCTTTGATGTCATGGAAAGAATGACTTTTTCAGTAACTTTCTCTTTCTTTTCATCCATGGCTAGGTTCAACTAGAAAATAAATAAATATATACATGAAAATAGGTACCTACTGACAACTAATAGCAACATTTATTCAAACAACTAATTTAGCATAATCAGGGAAGATGATTTCATATTAACTTGACTCATGTGAAAATGAACTCTACCTAGATTAAACAAATGCAAAGCTCATTTTTTATATTTAAAACATTTAACACTGAATTTTTCACTTCCACTTCTATTATTTGTAAACTTATTAAAATATGACTTGGGAAGGGATCCTTAATAGCAGGCATTCAACAATGATGAGTACTTTGTAAGAACATTTTATCAGAATGAGCACAGCAACTATTTTTTGTTTGTTTTTGATTGGGCGCTATTTCCAATTAAAATTGTTCATTGCCACTAGAAAAAAAAGTGGCTACTGTTATGTCAGAATAAGAATTCAAAGACATAAACCAAAAGCAAATGTTAATTGAAACACTCTAGATGGTGCAAAATAACTTGTAATATTTCATGACAAAAATAATGTATCTTAAATATCTGAACAAAAAAAATTAAGTTAAATAAGAAACATGAACAGTTGCCTAAGATCTGCCCTATTTACAAAGCTAAAATCTTCTACTACTGCTGTTAACCCATATGTTATAGAAAAGTAAATGTGGCCTCATCTATATTTCTTTAAAAATAATCACCACTGAAATGTTTTAAATAGGCTTTCTCAATTATATGCCTGACGAATCATGTTTGGGTTAACATAAATCTTTAAACTACATTCTGTCTGAAGATCCACCCCTATACTTCCAAATATAATGGAAATGGGAGCAACAATATGGCCACTTCAATCTAGCTATGAATATATGCTATAATAGTACCAAGCATGTGAACATTTCATCCACTTACATGTGGTATAACACAGTGAACTACAGATTCTGTTTTTGTACAGGAGAAAGGCCCAGGAATCTTCAGGTGATTCTGATGATCACCCTAAATAAGGAGTTGACAAACATTTCTATAAAGGGCCAAGTGGTAAATATTATATTTTTTTAATAGTAATGTCTACTTTATTTTATTTTTTTCAATTGTGTTTATTGAGGTAATACTGATTTACAACACTGTATATGTTTTAGGTATGTAAGTTCACATTTCTACAAATGAATGTTGACATACCATACCCACCACCAAAGCATGAATAATCCTCTACCAGAGTCCATGAACCAACCTCTTCTCCCTTTCTCCTCCCCCACCCCAACCCCTCCCCCTCCCCCACCCCCACTCCTTCCTTTCTGGTAACCTCAATTCTATAATCAGTTATCAAGGATATATTCTGATTTGGCTTTGTCTGTTCCTTTCCTTCGGTTTTAAAATTTCACATATGAGTGAAATCACCTAATATTTGTCATTCTCTTTCTGACTTATTTGCTTAGCATAATTTCTTCCAGTCTCATCCATCTTGTCACAGATGACAAGCTTTTTTTTTTTTATTTTTTATAGCTGAGTAGTATTCCTTTGTATATATACAACATATCTTAATCCACTCATATGTTGTTGGGTACTTGGGTTGTTTCCATTACCTGGCTCTTGTAAATAGTGCTACAATTTACATAAAGTACATATATATCCTTCAAATTATTGTTCTGTATTCAGGTAAACACATAGAAAAAGACTGCTGCATCATATGGTAGACCTATTTTCTATTTTGAGAAATCTCCAAACTGTCTTCCAGAGGCTGGACTAGTCTACATTCCCACCAACAGTTATATTTGGAAGATAAGGAATAAACAATCTCTGTTGCAGTAACTCAACTCTTCCCTATAGCATGAAATAAACAATTCATGAATGAATGGGTATTGTTATATTTCAATAAAAATTTAAAAAAAAAAAGTGGCAGACTGAACTGGACCTGCAGGCAGGAATTTTCCAATCCCTGCTGTATACTGAGAACCACTAATAAATATTTATTTATGATGACATATAAAATTATTGCATGAGACTGTTCTTAGGGTCACTCTCCCAAGGAATATTTGTTCCTTTGATGAAGTATTACAAAACACATAATATAAATAGTGAAATACCACATTCAACTTCTACACACAGAAGCCTATATGTTAACTGTGGTACAATAGACTTATCTCCAGTCTCTATGGTTATTCTTTATTAGAGCATCTTCAAGAGATGGGTGTGGAAGCAAGTGACTGGGGAACATTTACCATGTTCATCTTTCATTGCCAAATTAATTTCCAAATGCAGCAACACTAAAAACAGATCTTTTTTTGAAAGGAAACAAAACAAAACAAAAACAGAGCTACAAAACTCTTTGGTGCCACAGCAGTAAACCAAATTCTAATGAGATCTCCCAGGGCCATGACATTTTAAAATGCTTGCAACTAACTCTTTTAAAGGTGGGAATTCTTTACCTTTGAAAGCACCACAGTTGGAAAAATCACTTCCATTCTAATACTCAACTTCTAAAGAAGCACTATACTTATCTATATAAGCTGAAGGGAAACATGTCAACATTACTGAAAAGCATCATATGCATAGTACAAAATAGGAAATCAGTAAGAAAGTGAAAAATAAATGGTCAACAAAATAAAAGGATACATGGGGTGTTTTCTGGAAACATTCCAAAAGAGAGCTATTTTAATATAGTCATTTAGAGAAAATTATTTAAAGTAAAAAGTCAATGAAGAGAGGGCATTTTCACCCAAGGCATAAATAATATGCAGTGCTAACAGCAACTCTCCCTGAAGTTTCACAACATAATATCAATAGTAGGATTTTTCTCTCCTGTCACTTATGAGGAGACTATCCTGTTTCTTCATTAAGAAAACTAGATGCCTTTAAATTGCTGTTCTTATCTAAAATATACGACATCCTTTGTCAATGATTTTGCTTTTTTGAGATTGTTCATGTGGAAGAATGGTAGAAACTTCAAATTAAAATGTAAAAACAAAGAGAAAGATAGTTAAAATCTTATGTAACCATAAAAGCCAAACTGCCACCAAAAGGACAAGCAGGAAGTAGAGTTACTCTGTTCTAAATCTATCTCGCCCTTTTTAAATGTGAGAAAATACTTCCAATCACTTGTGGTACACATCAGAATCTAACAAGTTAAATAGGAACATTTAATTCACATTTTTGTCAGACTTTGTTGCTAAAGTTTTTTAAAACATGTAATTAACAAACATTAGCTATCCAAAATTAGGCTAAAATTTGTTTTAAAAAAACAAACTTAGGTTAAAGTTGTGTTCATTCACTATTAATGGAACCAGAATAGAACAATCAAGAGACCAGTGAAGGATAGTAGCAGAAATGGAAGAAACATAATGGTTCTAACAAAGAACACTGAACAGGAATGCTTCAAGAAAATGGTCTGGTTAGAGAAACAGAAGATTCAAAAATAGTAAGTTTACTTCAAACAATTTGTTTAGGAATTAAGGAAAAAAAACACAAAAGTACACCTGAAGGAACAGATTTCAATGAAAATGATTTCTACTGGTTGTTATTTTTCACACTCTATTTTACATTAAACTATCAATGCTGAAGTGGCAGACTCAATACTTTCTCTTAAGTCCCCATGGGTCATAGCTTAGCAGTTTATGGCATTATATAAAGCATGTGTTGTGTTTGCAGTGACTATAATAGAATGTGCTCCTAAGTTTGAGGAATTCCTCTGACATTTGCTGGCTCAGACAGCTCTCCTATGGTCAACCTACAGAGGAGAACATGCTCAGGTCTTCCTGCTAGAGAAATTCAGGCAGAACAGCAGAGAATTAGTTCCGTATGTGTCATTAATAGTATATGGCTTGGTTTTTCTAACTTTTTTTTTACTCTCCCCCAAATATTTTAAAGTGTATTTATGAAAATCATAAAAGTCAATTGAGTAAAATTTTTACCATGACTGTAAGATACAATATGTTTTATAGGAGAAAATAAAACCTAAGGTTCAATTATGCATATCTTAAGGTAAGGCACACTAATCAACCTAGTTGATGAATTAGGTCTACCTAACTCAAATTGACAATCCAGACAAGTATTAGTCAAAGATAGAAGAGTTAATAGTCTAACCAAACTAATGCTCTGACCCATGGTTATGCCTGTCATCTTCTCTATATTCAAAAGAATAGCTAATGACTCAAATGTGAAGTATATGTTATATGTTATGCATAATATCCTAAGTAGATCAACAGAACCCAAATAAAGAAAATGGAATCTTTCTGTTAAAAAATATAACTTTTTGACCAAAAATATTACTTTATTAATAAATTATTTGATCCATATTTTACATGCAGATCAATATAGGTAATATAGTTTGCAAAACAACAGGACAATCAGCCTTCATACATATATTGACAAGTTTCCCAATGGCCTGTTAATATACAAAAGACTGGGACAAATTACTTATTTATATATACAAAACATGGTTATAAAGGCCAGCTGCAGGTATTTTTTTGGAAAGTGCATTTTAATAAGGTCCTATTCAGTTAAGGAACAAATGGGGAAGAAGTAGTTTGCACTACAGAGTTTAGCGCAAGAGCTTTCTCTTTTTCTAACCACGAAATCAATCATTTGTCCAGACTGTGGGAGTCAGAGTTAGTTACTGAAAAGAGCTCCATATATAAACAAGTCAATAACTCATTGTGTGTTATTGTGGAGCTGAAGAAGTCGGCTTTCAAAAAAGCTGCCCCTGCTTCTCTCAGAATGAATGTCACTGTATTCAGGGACTGGGAGAGGGTCCTTTGTTTTCAGCCATTGCTGGCTGCCATTTATGTATGGGAACAGGAGGTGGCTGCAAGGAGAGTGGGGGGAAGCTACTATGTGGGATCATGTATGCCCAAAAAACCCTGAATTTTTCAGCCTAAATAATTTGTGTCTAGAAATCCATTAATGCAATTAATTAAAAGTAGCTACTGATATAAACAATGCACTGTATTGGTTCTGATGATACAAACCTGTACATTCAGGGTACTAACATTCCATTGAGAATTGCAATTCAGCCACCAACAGTTCCCATGGTTTTCCTTATG